GAGCACCCTGTCCCCGGCCACCGCACGGGGAGGACAGGCCTTAGCTGGGCAGAGTTTGAGCCCCAGGAGCCAAAGCCCTGGGGAGGGGGTGCCCTGGCCCTGAAGTAAAGCTCCCAGGAAAGCCTGAGGACAAGATGACGCTTGATGCAAGGGCCAGAAGCGTTTGCTGTTCAGACATCTGCCGCTGTGGAGCAATGCTGGGCTGGATAGGAACGCGTACTCATACACCCAGAAATGCAAGAAAGCAATGCAAAAATAATGACTTCCATTAGACAATGGGCTTCTATATACAGGAGATGTTAATTGGTTGACATAACTGTAAAAGTTTCCATTGCAGGATGAGTGTGTGTTCATAACAAGATGCAGTCACATGCTATGAATAATAAAATAATAAACAATCCCTAGCGTTGCTGTTAACCATCTGCTCTTATTTTTAGTGTTGTGGAATTGAACATGTAAGTTTAACAGATGGGCGTATTATTCAGAAGCACATTTTATGTTACTTGAAACATGTAAAGTGCATTTTAAATGAAACAGAAGCATTTGCTTATAGTCAAAATGTATTATATTTGTTTATAGGTGATCTCCCATCAGCCTGAACTTTATTTTTGAAAGACTTACACATGCTATTCAGTAAATATAATAATAAACTCTCTACTGTTATTTAAGCATTCTACCGTCTCTTTAGTATTTAAAAAAAAAAAATTACATTGGCAAGTGATTTTTTTTTTGCTCTTCTCTCAGTATTTTTAAACTGTTTCACATTTTTCCTTAGAGCTAACAGGACGTATCACAATGGAATAAACCTACAGTCAGGCTATTCTGTTATTGCACTCAGGGCAGTGGCTGATAGACCAGAGAAGCTCCTGGGGAGCTGATGTACGTGGAGCGGAACAGAGAAGAAGAGAGAGGAGGCAACTTGCATCCCTTGCAGGATTGGGCAACCCTTGCTTTCTCCTGTGCCTGCCAAAAATGGCATTCATTTCACAGTCTTATTACCTTGGTGTTATTTTTACCATTGTTCCCTGTTATTTGCGTTGTTACAATGCCTGGATAGCTCAGCCAAGACCCAGACTCTAAAAATATGGCCTGACTCTGCCAGCGCAACCTTGCAAATTCTAGTAGGAAAGGCAAAATTCAAGGTGAGAAAGCAAACGTTACTGTTCGGGTTTTATGCGGAGAACAAGGCAGAGAGAGAAGAAGGGGGCTGTGCCTCAACCTAGGGAGCTCGTGCCACTTGAGATGCCCTCCTGAAGCAAACGTTACTGTTCGGGTTTTATGTGGAGAACAAGGCAGAGAGAGATGAAGGGGGCTGTGCCTCAACCTGGGGAGCTCATGCCACTTGAGATGCCCTCCTACACCCAGAGAAGGTGGCGGATGAGCAGCGCCAAGCTCTTCTGGAGACTGCTGGGCACCAAGCAGCACGGACACCTGTGGGCTGCCTGTCTCCATCTAGCCCGCTTTAGGTCCTGCGCTCAAGGTTGTTCAAGGTGGCAACGTTGTGCTTGAACATAGATCCCATGAGTGCTGGCTCACTGTCTTAATCAAACTATTTTTTCTTGTTTACAGCATCTCTTTTCTTTCTCCTAGCCACCTACACTACTGCTGTTATGAAGTAGAATATCCTTTCCTGCTTAATTTTTTCTTCTTTGTGCTTCAATTTTTTTTTTTTCTGGCTCCTATCTCTATCTCTCACTCGGCAGAAGGCTGAATGTTTCCTTGGCTGGAGGACGTGTTATATAACGTTCTCCACCTCTTCTGCTCTTTTGTTGGCGTCGCCTCCCACCCTGAGCATGCTGAATAACAGTAACACGCTCTGAAACATGGGGATCAATAGCTTTGCCCTCTTATTTTTGTTGATGTATCTGCAGCTGTTAATAAGCATACAAACAGGGGATGTACTGAAGATCTGAGGTCTGTGAAACACACATTTGCAATCAACTCTTAAATTAATTACTGCGTTTAAAAAGTAATATTCTTCTTTCAAAACCTATTAAATGAGATTAGATTAGCTTTTGTTCACATATTTTTGAAGGATTAAATAGAAAATATTAACCTTTCTCAAATACCATATTATTCTTTGTATTTTGGTCACCTTTTTCTTTTTCAGATACTAAGAAGGAAGTCATTCCACTTCTGTGTTGACTTTTTATCTTCCTTTTATATTATTTTGGAAAGCTATGTTACTTATTGATTTTCTTTATGACAAACAAAAGCATTGCATAAAACCCCACACGTAAGAAATGACAATAGCACACACACATTCTCTGACGCAGACGAGTGTAACTTTTTACTATTTATCACTCATTTCACCAGTCTAGTTTGACTGCATTTTACTTGTATGTAGCTCTGTTTGGTTTTCTTTCACTCATTATTTTGGACTCATCTTTTGTTCCAACATTACTATTCTTTTTTGGTTGTCTGTGATCATCCCTTCTCTCTTTAGAACCACTCTACTTGTACGACTCCATCTTCTTTTCTGTTTAGTCTACCACCCTCTTTAGATGTTACTTGCAATGAGAAAAACAAAGGTAGAAGATCTTCACAATTCCACATTATCAGTACTCCTTCAAATGCCACTGTCAGTGTGGGACCCTTCCCATTCCCATCCCTCCCATATATGTAGGAACAGATGCTTTGGAACAGAGCATGTATGTGTATTGTACCTTCTGCTGTTGCTTTGTAAAAGTATTAGAAAGAAGTTGCTGAAAAACACTTTAATTTCTGAAATATGTAAAGCTTAGACAGCCTGAACATCCCAAAGATTAGATTTCTTCTTTGTCTGTGGTAACCATGAGAGTGGGCACTTGAATGATAATAAGAAATACTGATACCTCTTAGTTTACTGTAGGAAGTCAACCTCTGTATATGCACCTCTTTTGGAGCAAATTTTTCAGGCAGGTGTGCTTTTCTTGGGTATTAATGTACCTATTGCATGGCCTCCGTAACAGGTGCAGGCTGTAAAAGGGGTTTTTAGTCTTCTAATATAACATCCACGTCAAGAAGGCCACTACTATCAGAACACTTCTGGTCACAGTGGTTGCAGAGTTCATCCACATATATTCTCCTCTTGATACGAAACATGGAGCAGCCTCTTTTATGTGAAATACGGAGCAGCCAATGAAGATGATAAGACTGGGTGAGCTCACCATGCTTTTAATCTAAATATGGCTCTGGAAGAGCATATGGCTTCACAGCCATCCTTTCCCTTCTTTTTTTTTTTTTCCTCCCCTTTTCCCGTGCACACACTTGCTGTCTTTCTCATGCGATGACGCAGTCTGCACGGGTGCTGCTTTGGATACTGAAATTCGCACGCACTTTTCTTGCAGCAACCACAGTCAAAGTTTAAAGAATTTCTAACCAGCGTGTTTTTTTCTTGGTTTTTTTGGGTTTTTTTTTAGAAGGCACATGATCACGATGCTTTTAGCAGACTTACAGTAATTTTAGAAATGAGGTAATGTAATGAACTTGGAGAAAAAAAAGTGAAGACAGAAAAAGAGCCAGCACGGAAGAATAGGCGAGCTATCTGTTCTATACCCTAAGAATTACAGCTGTTGAACACTTGCTTGCTTCATTGATGCCTTCGCAACCATAAGCTTTTACAGTGAAAACCCAATTAAAAAAAATAAAAAATA